TCCAAATGAGATTCTCAGTTTAAGCAAGGAACAGTCCTTGCATAGTTGATGCTATATACACTAATGCATAGCTAGCTTCATAACTCAAAACATCAATAAAGTGTTGGCGAACACAAATCTACATACATCCTCTTAGATTCCAATACCATTACCACAATTCCCAAGTCTCACTAGCATTTAACAAGTAGATTAGAGTTGCAGCACCCCTGGTCACACCCTTGGCAGCTTTGAACTCGAGATGTTCATGTGGTTCTCATGCTTTAAATACAAGTCTTCTCTGGAGGTTCCTTTTCGCACTTCCACCATCCATCTTCCAAAGTCATGCTTTGCTCCCTCAGGTAAAGAATATGGCACATCAAAATTACACCCCCATCTTTCAACAGCAGAACACTGCACGTTATAAGAAGGCCTTGGATATGTTTCGACTCGACCATTCAAGTTGCCACCAAAGTCCCAAGAGTGATCATTCCCAGGCTTGATGGTAGAAGGCAACCCCACAGGGATGTCAACGGGCCCCGCGGGGCCGGGGAGTGCCTCCCCGTCCCCGTCCCCGCGAATGGCAGGGATGGGGATCCCCGCAGGGATTTTTGACGGGGGGCAGATTTTGCCCCCCGTCCCCGTTCCCCACGGGGAATGCGGATCCCCGCGGGGATCCCCATTCCCCACCAACTAATAACAAAGTATATATTTTTTGCATCAAACATAAATAAAAATTAATTTAACACAAATAATTAAATCAATAAAATTGTTCCAAATAGAGATTAATACAACATAAAGCAACATGTTCCAAACATAAGTTGTTCCAAATATACATAGAACTTAATCCAACATAAAGCAATATACTTGTTCTAAATATAGGCAAAAATCAACCCAACATAAATAAAATAACTAATTGAAGGGAAGCAGCCAAGAACCAACTCAAAACGCTTTAACTCTCAAAATCCACAATTGCTCATAAAAAGACCTACAATACAATTAGTAAATTCAATTAGTAAATACAATTAGGAATCAATGAACTGTACTATCCTTGTGGGTGTTGGTAAAATTAGGAGGAAAAAGGATGAACATCTCAGCTGTAGCTGTGTGTGTTTTGTGTGTGGTTTTGATGTTTGGTTTCACATAATGAAAGAATTAAGATTCAATGCTGGAGAAAATTATTGTAAAAGATTGTCTAAAGATGGTTAGATTCACTTTTAAATCTACTAAATTCTAAAAAATCCAAACTTTCTCTATGTTAATTCAACCATAATCAAATTATTAAACTTCTTACCGTTGGATATAGCACAGGCAGCAAGCAGAGGATCCGGCACAGGCAGCAAGCAGAGGGTCCGGCACAGGAGGCAGCAAAATTAACAAATTCATAAGAAATTACGGATCTTTTGCTTTCGGGGTGAGATTCAGCAATCATAAAAACTAATTCATTCCTACCTTATCAAATATTACAGTACCATATAAGGATATGATTCATATGAAAAACCAAAGCAAAAAATTATTTTGATTTCCTGATTGGATTACGTACTGGCATCGATCCTAATTAATTTTATGTTCATATGAAAATTACAATATAAGTTACAATAACTATGATAGTGATAAGCAAAACCCCATGATATTATGATGTAATTCTACTGTCATACCCATAAGGCGCCAACTTCGACGAGCTTGGGGACGAGGTGGCCCGAGACGTGGAGGCCGACGAGGGATTCGAGGCCGCCGATGCAAGTGCCGCCAATGAAGACAGCAGGGGCGGGGTTCTTGGCAGAGAGGCTATCTTGGACGGGAGGGAAGCGATCTCGCTGTCTTTGAGTTCGATGACGGTGGGGTGGACCCCGATGGTGGCAAGGAGTTTCTTCATGACATAGATCTGTAGCAGTAAGAAGGGGTTGTGGCTGAAACCAAGAGTGAGTGAGGGGTTGTGGCTGCGTGCGTGGGTGAGGAGAAGAGGGGAAATGAATAAAGTTATGAAATTAGGTTGGACGGGGATTAATTAGGGTTGGAAACTTGGAACTTGTAAGGAGGATGTTGGATTGCTGGGTTGGCCGGTTGGGTTGAATTAGGATACTTGGGTTGGGTTGGGTATTGGGTTGGGTTAGGTAAAATTTAATTTGTATTGAATTGGGTTTGGGTTAAGTTTGAGTTTTATTTTAAATATTAAATTAAATTAAATTTTTTTTTATTTTTCGCGGGGATGGGGATCCCCGCGGAGCCCCACGGGAAGGGGAAAATTCCCCGTGAAATTAAATTGCCCCCCATCCTCACCCCGCGGGAAAGAATATTCCTCCCCGCTCCGTCCCCGTGATGGAGATCCCCGCGGGACCCCGCGGGGATCGGGGGAAATTGCTACCCCCACATGAGGTTGTATGTGATTCATGTAAGTAATGCAATCTCGATGTAGCCAACTGAAATCAGGAAAAGTATGCTGCAGCCGTATGTGATTCATGTCAGCAATGCAATCTCGATGTAGCCAACTGAAATCAGGAAAAGTATGCTGCAGCCCTGCTTGGCTTCGATATTCGATATCTCTTCCAGCACAGATGGTAGAAGTCAACTCCAAACGAGGTTGAATGTGGCTCACATTGGTAGTGTGATATCTAGGCAGCAACCCCGCTTGGATTGGATAATTGATATGGCTTCCAGGTTCAGCATTATTTGTAGAAAATAGCCCCCCATGACGTCGAATGTGACTTCTTGGTGACGAACTCAAATTAGATATTGTGCACGGCAGCTCTACTTGTCTTGGATTATTGATATCTCTTCCAAATGCAGCATTTGAGCATGTGTTAAAATTCCAAGAGCAATCATTCATGGCATCCACTATATAAGGCAATTGCGGTTGGAGTGGAAAGGGATTCACAGCTGCAATGTGTTTTCTATAACTATAATTGAAAGCAGATGTGTTTGGCTGCAGCTGCATTTGGGCTGGGGAGTAGTGCAATTGCCGAGATATGTTTTTAGCTCTATTCAAAAATCTGAATTTGTAGGTATTGCACAAATCCAAAGGGAAGGGTTCATCACATTTTGAACCAGACCCTCTCTTATTGTTATAACCACGGTAATCTCCTATTTTGAACTCAACGCTCTCAATCAGGTCCAGAAAATTTGCAGAAGCCAATTCCTCGAGATTCCAACAACAAAAAGGGTGTGTGATTTTATGGTTCACATGAATTTCACCATTGACTTGAAGCATTTTGCTTGCATTGCTGAAGAATCCACTCACAAGAGTCCTATGTTTCCTGGAGTATCATCAACATAGGGCATTAAAAATAACCAGAATGATAATAAATTATACACACATCACGAACTAGAGAACTTATTGAATCACCCAGTAATCACTCTCCTTTCCATGGAAGCCTGAATGAGGGAAGTTGAAGATAATTCGATCAAACCTGCGCTTTTTTAAGTCATCATGATTCTTCATTTTGGTTGCATCAACTCCGTGTAAAATGGTTGCGCCTCGCTTCTTCAAATTTTCCAAATTCGACTTGGCATTCTTGTACTTGTTGATGACATCATCTATTCAATAAGAAGACATACCATATACAAACAAGTAGAAAACAAAACAAACTTAGGCTCAGTAGATTCATTAATGTAACTGGAACATTAATACCAACTAATTAAGAAGGACAATATATACAAAAAATATACTACTAGATGAACCATGGTTTTTCTTGATAGCATTCCGATCATTGTTTTAAGAGATGTAATCAAACTAGGGGACACATAGCAATAAAAGGCATTCGGGGTTTAACAAAGTTGCATGAAATTATTGGATTCTTATTAAAGAGGAACAAAAACACATGCATCATCAGCAACATTGTCATCAACTGATTAGCCAAACAGCAAGGCCAATACGCAAACTAAAGAGCAAAAACCCTATCATCACAAATTAATGATGGGTCCTTTTCATGCATTATAAAAACAAACTCCCAAAATTGCAATAAAAGAAAGGCATGACAAAAACCTATCGATTGTGTTAACCAATGGAAGACAAGCATCGAACTTGAGTGATCATTCTATCTAAAAATCCTTACTTTGACAAAACATCAAACCTGAATACATACAATTATGAAAGAAATGATCAATTTGGGTGTATCTCTTTGTACCTTCTGAGTCGAGAGAAGTAGCACAAATGTTGGAGCCAGAGCCAAAAGCAATGGCCAAACTCAAAGAAAAAGAGAAATCTCCTTCGCCCACAAAGAGAATTTTATGCTTGGATGAATAGTGGGTTACCCATTTCTCTTCTTCCTTCTTTTGATCAACACCCAGTTCCTTTCTAGCCTCCTCCATGGCCACTAACCTTTACTTTTTTTTTAGTATATGAAATGAAACTAGTATGACTGTGATTCTGTTGTTTGAATTTCAAACTTCTTAAACAAGTTTTCCAGAAGATAAATAAAAGGAAGTGTTTTCATTTTTTTTTCTTTTTTTTTTTAACAGAATTTCATTGTGGGGATAGGAGAATAGGAAGGAATCGAATTTGGATTTGGTGAGAGACATTATATATAAGGTGCAGTCAATTACCCTACACAGAGCTTATCGGAGAAGAAACGTTTTCTTTTGGGGTTGCAGAAAATCAAGCAAAGTATCTGTCAATCAAGACAATCACAAAAGATCCCCTTGTCATCATCACAGTCATCAGAAAGTATCTTTGCAACAAAGGAGAATGCGACAGGCCAGTACTAATCTGTCATGTAATGAGAAAAAAAAAAGTGATATAAAGATAATTT